AGATGGATGGTCAGATGGATGGATAGATGGATGGTCAGATGGATGGATAGATGGATGGTCAGATGGATGGACAGATGGATGGTCAGATGGATGGATGAATGGCTGGATGGACAGATGGCTGGATGGACAGATGGATGGATGGTCAGATGGATGGTCAGATGGATGGATGGATGGATGGAAGATGGATGGATGGATGGATGGATGGTCAGATGGATGGATGAATGGCTGAATGGACAGATGGATGGATGGTCAGATGGATGATAGATGGATGATCAAGGCTGATATTTTCAAATAGCTCAAATTCTCTGAAAATATTTTTCAGTTTGTTTGCTGAAACGTTCCTCTCATTCAAGTCATGTCCTGGAATCAGATTTTGAACTTTCCTCCACCTGTCTCTATGTCCAGGTCCAAACGGAGGTTGTACACGGCAGCGGACATGTTCCTGGAGGTTGTCCTAAAGAGACACTTCCCAGAGTTCATTACCTCCTACTTAAACCAGGACCACACATTCCTCAGCTCCCAGAACTCAGCAGAGGACACGAGCCTGGACCCAGGCAAACTGTCCAAACTGTGAGCCTGGAGGACAGCGTCTCCTGATGGATGATCAGACAAAGAAATTCACTCTACAGTGTAAACACAGATTGTTATGAACATTGTTTGGTAACAAATAAAAGTTACATGAACCACTGGGAAATGTTTAGTCTCTGCACAGCTGCTGAAATAGCAAGGCAACATGCACAACGTCAAACCTTCTCCCATCATCTGTTTCCAACACCTGAGCATGATGACAGTTCAGAAACAGTCAGCAACATTTACAGAAAAATCAAAGTCACCAGCTATTGGTTCTCACTATTGTAATCGGGAGGCATTGGTGTAGATAAACCCAATGGTGCAAGCAGGCAGTCCAAGACTCCATCCATACATTATCTTTACCTGCTTCTTCCATTTTGGGTCACGGGAGTCGCCGGTGCCCATGTCCAGCAATCACAGTGCAAGGGGCGGGGTACACCCTGGACAGGTCTCAAGTCCATCACAGGGCCACATAGAGACAAACGAGACAAACAACCATTCACTCTCTCACTCACACCTAGGGACAATTCAGAGTTACTAATCAGCCTAACATGCATGTTTTTGGTCTGTGGGAGGAAACCGGAGTACCCGGAGAAAACCCACGCATGCACGGAGAGAACATACAAACTCCACCCAGAAAGACCCCCGGACTGGGATTTGAACCAGGGACTTGCGTGCTGAGAGTCAGCAGCTCTACCAGTTGCACCACCGTGCTGCCCAATCCAAGACTCAGAGATTATAAAATAAAGAATTTATTTACAAAAATCAAGACGACTGATGCTGCAGCAAGACGTACATGAATACAAGGAGCAGACAGGAAGTCACCAGTGGACAGTTAACAATGCGAGGACAAAGGACTAACACAGAGACAAAGACTTATATACAGTGACTAACGAGACAAAACACCTGTGAGGACACACAGCTGAAACACGTCAGAGGAAATGATAAACAAGAAAACCAGGGAGTGCAGGAACAGACACACAACACCAGATGGAGGCATACACTAGGAAATCACAAACCCTAGAAAACAGAAACTGAGGATCAGGACATAAATACAAGATGGGGCTAGACACCAGGAAACACCACATTCCCTACACTCACAGGGTTCCTGCCACTCAATCCAACAAATGAACAAAAATAAATGCTTACCTGATCTCAGTGTGGTTTAATTCAAATTTAAAAAATGTATTCTCCATTATGACACACAAATTTTAGACTTGTATCCCAGACTGGAGAATTTTGAAAACTCTCCAGTCCCCAGGACCAGCCACATGTGGTACCCAGCAATGATGCCTTGGTTTCATTCAAGCCTTCATGAGTCAGTCCAGTCTTACACAAGGAGCTTAGCAGTTCTTTATGAAAAAAAAAATTTTAAAAATTTATATATATATATATATATATATATATATTTTTTTTTTTTTTCATTTATTTATTTAAAGTGTGCTTTGCTCTTCAATTTTTTGTTACATTTTCTTTTACATTGCTAATCTCTGGATGGCATTAATCTGTCCTCCTGCTCTAATGTTAAAAATCTTGGTGTTATTTTTGACCAGGACATGTCTTTTAACCCACACATTAAAAATGTTACTAGAACCTCCTTCTTCCACCTGCACAATATCACTAAAATTAAAAACATCTTATCTAAAAATGATGCAGAAAAACTGGTCCATGCATTTGTCACATCTCGACTGGACTATTGCAATGTTTTATTATCTGGGTGTCCAAATACTTCTTTAAAACGTCTTGAGTTGATCCAAAATGCTGCTGCCAGAATCTTAACTGGAGTTAGTGGGAGAGATCATATTTCTCCAGTTTTAACTTCTCTCCATTGACTCCCTATCAAATCCAGAATATAATTCAAAATCTTACTTCTAACCTACAAAGCTCTCAACAACCTAGCTCCATCTTATATTACAGATCTTATTGTTCCATATTTTCCTAACAGAGCACTTTGCTCTCAGACTGCAGGTTTACTTGTGGTTCCTAGAATGTACAAAAACAGAATGGGAGACAGATCTTTTAGTTATCAGGCTCCTCTCTTGTGGAACCAACTTCCAATCTCTGTCCGTGAGGCTGACACATTATCCAGTTTTCAGACTAGGCTTAAGACTTTCTTTTTTGCTAAATCCTATAGTTAGGGTTGGCTTGGGTTTCCGGAGCTATCCTTTAGTTATGCTGCTATAGGCTTAGACTGCTGGAGGACAAATTGACCACATTTCATCAAATGAATAGATTGTAATTATTTCTATCTTAACATGGTTTTTGTCTTTCCTCCTATAGACAGTACATCTGGACCTGCCATTCTGTCTCTCCTTCCTGTCCTCTCAAACCCAGCTGGTTGAAGCAGATGGCCGCTTGTCCTGAGCCTGGTTCTGCTGGAGGTTTCTTCCTGTTATGAACGAGTTTTTCTTTTCCACTATCTCCTTTGTGCTAGTTCAGAATGGGAGACTGAAACAAAGTGAAGATTCAACGAGTCTGCTGCTTCCTTAGATAAAGAACTTTACTAATTGGCTTTTATTTTAAATATATGTGAATGTTTCTGTTCAGTGCCCTGAGACAACTTGTGTTGGGACTTGGAGCTATATAAACAAAGTGAATTGAATTAATCTGACACACCTATGTCCTCAAGATAAAAACATTACACCTTTAAAAAAAACCTGTAGAACAAAAATGTATAGCATACAGAACAATGATCTTTAGATGACTAGAAAGGGATGGTAAGATGAGAGGGGGTGTTGGTGTAGGAGTTGTGCTTTTACTGCTTTCCCTGGTCTCTGTCTCCCTCAAGTGTTCTATATTTGTCTGCTCCCCCTCTGATGTCTGCACCTGTGATGTTTCACAGGTGTTCTGTGTTAGTCTAGTTGGTGTGTGTATTTAAGTCTGTTTGCTTGCGTCCCTCATTGTCTTGACATTGTGTCCCTGTGATACCTGTTCTGCTCCTCGTGTCCTGCGTCCTGTCCCAGGATGTATGTAAGTCTGCTGCCCCATCAGCCATCTTTATTTTGTAAATAATAAATTATTTATTTATATTCCCTGAGTCCTGCCAGTCTGCCTGCACCAATGGGTTTCCAGCCTAGAAATAATCACAGTTAGTGTGCACAACATGTGCACGTGACCCTAATGTGGTCCTTGATGTTTCACCCACATCTGCAGCAAGATAGAGCAATTTTGGCCACCGGCTGATCTCAGAAGTGTCAACAATCTAACAAAACGCCACAAACACATAAAACATGAGAATGTGAACAAATGATACAAGTATTCTTTCTCATGATCAAACACACCCTGTCGACTCCACCCTTGCCCCAGTTGTAGTCCCACATGATAAGCAGCTTCTTCTCTGCAACTACAGAGAACCTTGTTCCTTCAGAGGTCCCCAACAGCGCCAGCTTCCTTACAGGCAGTTCCTCACCAGTCCCACCTGAGTGAAAACATTGTCCCCCCTGGACCACCTATCATGTTCAGCAGTAGTGTTAAACCCAAGTGAAGACAGACACGGGAAAACTCGAAGGTCAAATGAAGGATTCTAATTTATTAACAAAATGAAGGGTGACGTGGAAACAGAACACTTACAGAAAATCCAGAGTGCAGGAAAACACAGATGAACTGAACACGAGCGGCTGTGAGGAGCTCAATCCTCGGACGGGGAAGAAACACCCTGACACAGAACTCAAAACTACTGACAGATAATGAGGAACACCTGGGGAACAGGTGAGAGAAGAAGGATCTGGAGGGGAAAGCACTATAAGCTGAACAGATGACACAAGAAAACACAAAAACCTCAAAATGTAAAGAACACAAAATAAAACAGGTTCTCCACCACCATCCTCCTGGTTCCTCTCTGCAGAGCCACCAGTCTCCAGCAGGTGGACACCTCCAGCCTGCAGGTGGAGGACACCCTGTCTGCTGCAGCAAAGACCTTCATGCAGGTCTTCAGTTAGCAGGTACTGTCCAATCATCAGTGCTGATGTTCTAACCAAACTGAAGAGCAGGGGAAGGTGCTGGCTCTCCTCTTGTCAGAAATTAGTTCAAGTTGTTTCCATTTGAATGTTCCTCCTTTTAGCTTATTTCTGATTCTGTCTTTTTTTTTTTTTTTTTAGCTTTTTTTTTTCCTTTTTTTTTTTTATTTTTTCTTTTTTTTTTTTTTTTTTAGCTTTTTTTGTGCCTTTTTTCCTGCTCCTTTCATCTTCTTTCTTTTATTTCAGCTGTTTTGTGCTTCTTTCAGCTTTTGAAGCTCCCTTTAGCTTCTTGTTGTTGTTTCCAGATTTTTTAGGCTAATTTCAGTTTTTTTTTTCCTGCTTTCTATAAGTTTCACCTATTTTTCTACTAATTTTATCTTTTTGGCTACTTTTCAGCTAATTTCAGCTTTTACGTGATATTTTCAGCTTCTTCCTGACTATTTCAGATGATTTTCTATTTCAGCCTTTTGTGATTTTCTTTCAGCTATACTCACAGCTGATTTTCTGCTAATTTTAGCTGTTTGTGCTCTGTTAAGCTTCTTTATTCTAATTTCAGAATGCTTCTGCTACTTTTAGCATTTTTCTGTTAATTTAAGCTCTTATTATTTTCTCTCGGTGTTTATTTTTTAAATAATTTTTGCCTTGTTGTGCTCCTTTCTGCTTTTTTTCCTGCACTTTTCAGCTGTTGGTGTTTTTCAAGTAAGCTTCAGCTTGTTCAGGAGCTTTCAGCTAAAATCATTCAGCAAAGCGTTCACACTGAGTTTCACTGGAAATTACATTTCTCTAGTTTTTTGTTTGTTTCTCTGTAAAGAAATGAGACAATAGTTTAAAGATTCTTAATGCAGGAACACAGGTTAAAAAAAACAACTAAATAAATAAATAAAAGCCTGAACATAATTTCATGAATTTTATTTTACTGTTCTTGTAAAATGATTTGAAAAAAACGGTCGAATATTCAAATAAACACTGTTCAGACTCCTTCTGGAAGGCCTGAAAAGAGGGAATGGAGTGACTAAACTTTGATTTGTGTATTTCTCTAAGAGTATTATCAAATTTATGATTCTGTTTTTTGCTTTTGACATCATGGACTCCAAACAGTAGACTGTTTCAATTCAAACAGAAATTAGAGTCAATCTTTCTAAAAAAGATGACTGGTTTCCAGAAGGAGGCAGTAGCGTGACAGAACCAGAACAGGTGGATCATAGTTTCTGGTTCAGACTCACACAAATATCTTTCCTAAATTTAAACATACTGCTTGACAGGGTAATACCTGTGGATTAATTTATAAGACACTTCTCTTACTTTGTTTAGAAGCAAATATATGTAGGGAAGTTTCCACACGTTGACCCAGTTCAGCCCATTTACTAATCCAGCCCAGTAATGAACAACATACGGGTAATATCTGTTTGAAATAATGACCTAATATTATGATTATTATTTTTGGATTTGATCAAAAAGCATAAATGACCATCTGGTGTCACAGCGGGGTCAAAGGTTGGAACGGGCTGGTTTCTCAGCTTTCTTTAATAAAGTTAGAATACCAGAGGGAATAGAATCCATTACTAGAGCAAATTCTTTTGGGCTTAACGGAACATTTAATGTATGCAGGAACTCAGAGTAGTTCAGCAAATTCCCATTATCATTAAGAAGCTGATATGAATTATGTTGTTATCAAATCACAAGTTAGAAAAAAAAAAAAGATTTATTTTGTGTTTGATGTGTTGATTGTTCCAAATGAAACATTTATGTGGAGAAAAGCTGTTTGTAAAATAACGACCATGTAACAACATCTGCTTATGAAAACTCGATAACCAAAGGTGACGTTTATTTATTTTATAATCACATAGAAGTTCATATTCAAGGCCTCCAACAGTAGAAAAACATATTTGTGTATAAAGCTCCTCATGGATGTAGGGTTCTGTGTTTATTACAGTCTAACTTGTAGAGAAAACATTTTACAGATTCGGCTCCATTTGCTTTATTTAAAAGTCAAATAAATCAAAATGTATATGAGACTTAATAAGACTAACACAATCACATGGCTCTGTTCAAGAAGTCACTGCTGTCTCTGACAACCCCTCAAAAGTGATATGAAAAATAGTACATTTACATAAACATCTTGTTTAAATATGAAAAGAAACTTTAATTAAATGTTTAGTGTCCCTGAAGAACCGGTCCATGTCCTCCACATCAGGGTCTCTGAGGTTATATTCATAATATTCTTTTGTAAAAATAAATTTAACTTTTGTGTCTTTTTATTCCCAGTTTTAGACATTTTAATACCGTTGTGTTCACAAAAAAGACAATACCCCTTCAAATTAAAAGTGAACATTTGACTTTTTTAGGGAAAAGGACAAAAAGTAACGAATGTATATTGATTACATTTTTTGCGATTTATTTTCCTGGATGATTTTGTTTACATCAGGATTTATTTATTTATTTATTTTAACTGTAATGCCTCTTAATAAAGATTAAAGAAAAGTCGGACTTGGAGTCGGATGGTCGGTTTTGTTCGACTTCTCGGTGATGTGTTAATCTGGCTTCCAGGCTCTTTAATCCAGCGCAGATAGTTCGATTCAACGGAGAGCCAAGGAAGACGATTTTCAGCTAAAATGTCTTTCAGTCGGTTATTATCTCGATCAGTTCATCTTAACAGACGTAAGTGAACAAGAAACACAAGTGATCGGTGCTGATGTGGAGGACTGGTTGTTTATAGATGCACAGAGGAGCATGACCTTAGCTTAGCTTAGCATTCAGTCATAGCTGTAATTATTAAACTGAGACAAAGTGGCAGATATATGGTTTATATAACGTGCTCAGAGAGTTCTGTTCATCATCTCTTTACTGATTTTAGCTACTGTTTGGGTCATTTTAGCTGCAGCGTTTGGTTTCCTAAGTTTAGCTAGTTTTAGTTGTTTAGTTCTTCTCTTTCTGCTGATTTTTTCTTCTGCTCTGCTGTTTTAACTTCAGTAACTCAGTTTTAGCTTCTTCAGGTGAAATCATTCAACACTCAGGCCTCGCGCTAGAAATCATCAAGTTCTGTTTGTTTTTGTGCGGCTCGGCTGTTGAAGTATATTCTCTAAATGAGTTTTCTGTTTTAGTATTTCATTGGTTCATGTTTTTATTCCTGATGCTGTAATTACATCTTATTTTGTATTTGATGCTGTGGTGTTTTTGTTAAACACTTTGGTTCCTGTTTTAAATCAATCTACTTGTTTAGTTGGATCCAGATCTGCCTTCACCAGCTCCAATCATGGCGTCACCAAACCAAACTTGCTGAAGGTCGGGCTCACCTTTGGGACAGCAGCTTTCCTCTGGGGCTTGGTAAGTGATTGAACTCCCAGCCTCAGATATATATTTCATCTTCAGCCTGTCCTGGAAGACTGAGAATCTGCACAAGCATCTTGTAGCATTTAGCTCTGTAGCTCTGCGGTCTAACATTTAGCATCAGACCTTCCCTGAAAAACAGGATGGGAGCATGTTCTAAAATCTGTATGAACTTTTCTGCACTGATGGTTCCTTTCAAGACATGTGACTGATGCTGAACAGCTGGAACATGTGACTGATGCTGAAGAGCTGGAACATGTGACTGATGCTGAACAGCTGGAACATGTGACTGAT